GAGAGAGAGAGAGAGAGAGAGAGAGAGAGAGAGAGAGAGAGAGAGAGGAGTGCGCACCCAGCTGACACTTGGCTGGCGTCCGATCGCCACGTAGCCCACGCGTCCACGCGGCGGCGAGAGATGTGTTCGAGGAGAGGTGTTCCCGAGGACGAGCAGGCTGCGTCGTCGCGCGCTTACGACGAGCGAAAAGAACCGAGGTCACGCGGACGGATAGTACGTCGCGTTTCGGCGTGCCGGCTGCGAAGGCGGCGATTGGCACAAGGAGCAACGGCACGAATCCCACGATCGACGAACATCGCGCGCGCCCGGTCGCGCTCGCACTAGTCGCACACTCGCACGTCGCACAGTGATGTCAGTGATGAGACCATGGAAAGGTGGCGGCGCGGGCGGTCGGGGCGGTGTACGATAGCGACACGCCAGTCACGTGGCACCGCGTCACGTGCGTCACGTGACGCCGCCGCGCCGCGCCGCCGCGAACTTACGAACCGCGCGCGCACGTGATCGCGCCGGCGAGTTAAAGGGACGCGGGATTTAAATGGAGTATTACGGAGATTTAAATGGAATGGCGGGGCAAGTTCCGCCGTGACGCCACTTTCGCTTATCGTCCGCGTCCGGAACGCTCCGAGTTAAATAATTGGGTCGAAAAGGGATTTAATAGATCTCGATTGGGTGCATGGAGCAATGAAATTTGATAGATCTCGAGTAGATAGGCGCGATGAAACTGGCTGATTAAATTCGGAGGAGGCTAAACAGCTTAAATACTCTCTAAATTTCACAGAATGGTTCCGCTACTAATATATTATAGTGATTGCGATAGTTACTTTAAAGTGAAGTGCACAGGCTCAATTTTCACTGTTCGTTACACTTGCATCTCACTCGTTTTGAGTGATATTTCAATCTTCGACTTTTAGAGAGTAGTAAAACCTCGCTGCCAATGAACATTAATTCAGAAAAAGATACATTAATGAGAAAAGGATATATATGATAAAAATATATAGTTAATAAATGAAATGCGGAGCGGCCGATCTAGTAAGTATAAAGCGCCAGATTCGTAATTCGGGGAACCTGGTTCGAATCCCGCTAAGCCATTGGAAATTGTTCCAGTAAAAACGCCGCTCTCTTCATCTAGCGGACAGAGATGTAACCCTAGATGGAAAACTGGGCTCCGTCTTTCGGAAGAGACGTTAAGCAGTGGGTCCACTCATGGCCGACGATCGCTATGAGATACCACCTCAATCTTACCCCTATCAACTCGCAATGGCCAGCGTGATAGGAAAATGGCTAAAAACCTCTAAAAACAATGCAATTGTTAAAAGAGAGGTCTGTGTCCAGCAGTGGATGAGGCAGGCTGGTGATGATGAATAAATGAAATATAGATAAAAAGATAGATAAGTTTTCTTCCGCTGAACGTAAGAATGATAAGACTAATCAGAGATTAGGGTGATTAGAGATCAACACAAGAGAAGTGAGCGAGACCAATAAAAGTTTTCTGCGCGCGT